TGACCTGCCCAACTCAATCCCAGCAGCTGAGTCCTTAACCATCTTCAAGAATCGACTAAAACACATCTCTTCCACCTTTATTTGACCCTCTAACTCTAGCACTTTCTATTCTAATTCTATTCGTTATAATAAAAAAAACATGCCCCTTTTAAACGTTTAGACTCTATTTATTTACTGCTTGTTTTCTAAAAAAAAAAAAAAAAGTAACACTTGCTACTCTCATTTTTTTGTATTCTATCTTTGTTTTCTTTTTATTTACTATACAATTAACAAAGCAAAAAAGGCCTCTAACACTAGCTTGCTTTATTCTTTTTCTATTCTACCGGTTTTCTTTTTATTTATTATATGATTTTAAAAAACCTTGCTGTGTGTACTGCGTTAAGCTAACTGAGACTTGTTATAGCACTTGTGTATTATTGCTCTTTTGTTGATTTTGATTGCTTCCATTGTCCTCATTTGTAAGTCGCTTTGGATAAAAGCGTCTGCTAAATGTAAATGTAAATGTTTACCGCGGTAGAGAGAGCAGCAGAGCGTGATGTCACATCTTTGTCTTTTGAGGGAATCTGGCCGGAGTTCATCGCGTGGGGCCGCGTTAGGAAGAGCTGCATTCCAGCGCAATGAAACCTCTTTCTGTTCATCACGTGTTTCATGTGTGTGTCTCTGAGTGTGTGTGTCATATTAATGTTGATGCTGCTGCGGTTTGATTTGTGGAAGCGTGTGAATGTGAAATGCTGCAACACACACACGTATGATGCAGGCGGTGGTTCAGTGTGTTTGAGCTCTTGTGTCTGTTAATCCACTGGATTCAGAGGAAACTGTAAAGAGCCCAGCGCTTTGTGTGTGAGTGTGTGTGTGTTGAGTGTGAGTGTGAGTGTGTGTTGAGTGTGAGTGTGTGTGTGAGAGAGAGAGAGTGTATCAGAATGGACAAGTCCTCTCATGTCCACATGCCGGAGGCATCTTGAGGGGCGTCTAGGTGACCGTTCAGAGCAGACTGTAAGACTCTCTGTCTTTCTCTCTTTCTGTTACAGTAATTCTAGTGTGTTGCTCTTTAATTACAGCACTGTATTGTTTGTAATCAGCTTTTATAAAGAGCCGTTGCATTCCATTGCACTGCTTACCCCTTGTTTTTTATATGTAGACATGCGATAGACGGACGTGATTATCCGTAGCGCTCGTGTCTTTTGCCGCTTCTTGCACATGACACAGCCGTCTAAAAACAAGGAGTTAAAAGTTCAATATTTAAGAAACGTCTCGCATTTTTCAACACATTCTGTGTGAACCGGCCTCAAGTGGTTTGTATTTTATATCATCCTGAGATCCTCTTATAATGTTAATGAAGTTTCATTGATCGCCTAAAAAATGAACTCAGGAGTGGTTTGGTTGTGGTCAGAAAGCAATCCGACCCGACGGATCGATGAACCGAGCTTTATCATAATGCATATTAGGAATTGTGGTATTTAAAGAGATCCCAAAATGAAACATCATTTACGCAAACCTGTAGGATTTTCTTTCTTGTGCTGAACACAAAAGACGATATTTTAAAGAATGTGGGTAGCCAAACAGTTTCTGGTCTCCATTGATGTAAATACTATTTTTTTTCCATACTATGGAAGTCAATGGAGATCAACAACATTTTTGGGTGAACTAGCAGAGTCTGATTCTGTGTATGAACACATCAGTTAATGCAGGTGAAAGCTGCTCTTCATCTTAAACTGTTGTCTAATTAATTGCTGTTTTTCAGAACAGGCTCATTATGACGAAACACTAATGATATAAGTCCCTGTTTGAGAACAAAGCAAACGGGTCTGAAAACAGCTGTAGTTTCTGATCAGAGCTGAAGAATCTGAACTGATCTGGCCACAACTCGCATTCACACAACATACACAATCATGTCTCGTTTCTCGTCTTTCTGAAACCTCATGAGGCATTTGCTGGAGAAAGGAGCATCTTTCATCTGCTGCGATGTTTTTCAGACGTGTGAATGAACGTTCATCGTCCTCTAATCACGAGCGTTCATGACTGAAGTTCAGAATATGTTTCTTATGTGTTTGAGATGAATTGTAGATGGAGGAGGCAGCATTCTTGTGTCACCCTTCAGCGCCGCGTCCTGCGAAAGAGCTTCTCCGTTCACCTGCTCCGCCTGCGGTGATGCTCTGAGCATCGATCCTTCCTAAATCACATCAGAAATGGAGGCTTTACACTTCTCGTTTCCAGTTTTGCTGTCGCTTGATGATTTGGTGTTGTTGTTGTGCTGTTCTAACCATCAGTCATCAGAATCCAGATGTAACCGTAACAATCTGATTCCTCTGAAGAATTAAACGCAGAAATGCATGAATGAGGTTTCATCTGCAGACTCGTGTGAATGTAGGATAAACCAAGTTTAACTTGTACCAAAGGCCTCAGAAGTCTTTTAACCCAGATGATGATTCCTGCTGTTCGTGCTTTTCATCAGCGGCGCCCGCTGAGCTCCATCAATTATTAAAGCGCATCTGAATGTTTCGCTGGAGCTGTTTACCTGTTTATGCAGCCAGAAACGTGCGTCTTATATAATTCAACGCATCAGGGACGTTCGGCAGTCTGTGGATCTATTCTTAGCTCTGTGAGGTCCATAAATTAATCTTCAATGTGATGTTCAGTGCTGATATCAGTCTTGAGGAGCTCCAGTTTATCCCGGAGAATATCATGAGCACACACTGAAATAACAGTCAGCCTAATAAATAATGGAACGGTTATTGAACCTTTAGACGAAATATAGAACATAAGTTTGCATACGTGTTATTATATTTGATGCATCAGGCTTTTATGATTCATATAGTCTGATATAGTGAGAATATGGAGTTTAGTTTTATTCAGAGACTCAAACTGAGCAATAATATGAATTTGCTGCAGATGCTGTTATTTATATGATGAAATTCTGATGCTTGTGCTGTAAATCAATGAGATGTTTCTAACAGTGCAGCAGACACTGACATAAAATGCTATAGATATCAGCGGTTGCTCTATATCTCCAGTAATCTGTCTCAGTGAGACGAGATTGAAATGCTCCAAACATATAATGCAGTGATTGAGAGCTGAAGAAATAAAGGCTCCTCAGAAGATCCTGATGATCAGATTTGAGACTCTAGTAAAGCTGAGCTGCTTCAGTCCAGTAAGTGTTCATCTGGAATATGTACAGTTACACTAAAAGAGCTTTGACTGGATAAAAAGTACCTCCAAAATAAAACTGTAAATCTTCCACGATCTCGTCCTCTTCTCAGACTTCAGCTGGAGTTTGATCTGAACCCTGTTGTTGGTTTTCACAGGCGTGTTGGTGAGCGACCCGAGCGTTTAGATGGGTTTGTGTCATTTTTTTCTGCATGATTCATGGTACTAAATATATTTATGTAATAGTTATGATCCATTTATTAGCTGTTAACCAAGTTTTGAGCATAGCACTGAAAATGAAATCTCCACCTTAAACTGTCATAAATCTTAAGTTTGGTCCCTTTTTAAAGAAGATGCTTGGCAGATTATTGCTGAAGTAAAAAGTAAAAAAAGTTTTTAAAAAAAAGTTATAGAAGTTTGTTTATTATTATGAAAAATATGCATTTTCCAAAACATGTTTTATACTCTAAAACTGTGTGAAAATCAACGCTATAAATCAAAACAAGTTGTGTTCCAAATTTGAGGTTGATATCACTAAAAATGAGCTTTCAGTCAGATTTAGTTTGGCCGCAGTACCAAATGTTTCCACTAGATGCAATTTGCTTTCCATTTGATTCCAATGCGTCACTTTTGACAGCAAACAGTGTGTGTGTGTGTGTGTGTGTTCACGTAGCAATTGCCAAAACCAAGTTTCGTACCATAAAAAATAACATTATAAACGTAACATTATTCAGTCAAAAATTCAGAGGGTTAATTTAGGGTTGAATCACGTGTTATTATATTTGATGCATCAGGCTTTTATGATTCATATAGTCTGATATAGTGAGAATATGGAGTTTAGTTTTATTCAGAGACTCAAACTGAGCAATAATATGAATTTGCTGCAGATGCTGTTATTTATATGATGAAATTCTGATGCTTGTGCTGTAAATCAATGAGATGTTTCTAACAGTGCAGCAGACACTGACATAAAATGCTATAGATATCAGCGGTTGCTCTATATCTCCAGTAATCTGTCTCAGTGAGACGAGATTGAAATGCTCCAAACATATAATGCAGTGATTGAGAGCTGAAGAAATAAAGGCTCCTCAGAAGATCCTGATGATCAGATTTGAGACTCTAGTAAAGCTGAGCTGCTTCAGTCCAGTAAGTGTTCATCTGGAATATGTACAGTTACACTAAAAGAGCTTTGACTGGATAAAAAGTACCTCCAAAATAAAACTGTAAATCTTCCACGATCTCGTCCTCTTCTCAGACTTCAGCTGGAGTTTGATCTGAACCCTGTTGTTGGTTTTCACAGGCGTGTTGGTGAGCGACCCGAGCGTTTAGATGGGTTTGTGTCGTTTTTTTCTGCATGATTCATGGTACTAAATATATTTATGTAATAGTTATGATCCATTTATTAGCTGTTAACCAAGTTTTGAGCATAGCACTGAAAATGAAATCTCCACCTTAAACTGTCATAAATCTTAAGTTTGGTCCCTTTTTAAAGAAGATGCTTGGCAGATTATTGCTGAAGTAAAAAAAGTTTTTAAAAAAAAGTTATAGAAGTTTGTTTATTATTATGAAAAATATGCATTTTCCAAAACATGTTTTATACTCTAAAACTGTGTGAAAATCAACGCTATAAATCAAAACAAGTTGTGTTCCAAATTTGAGGTTGATATCACTAAAAATGAGCTTTCAGTCAGATTTAGTTTGGCCGCAGTACCAAATGTTTCCACTAGATGCAATTTGCTTTCCATTTGATTCCAATGCGTCACTTTTGACAGCAAACAGTGTGTGTGTGTGTGTGTGTGTTCACGTAGCAATTGCCAAAACCAAGTTTCGTACCATAAAAAATAACATTATAAACGTAACATTATTCAGTCAAAAATTCAGAGGGTTAATTTAGGGTTGAATCATGTGAAACGCTGCTGTTTGATACTCGATATGCGTTCAATTCAGTTTGTCACTGATAGAAATACCACATCTGGCAAACATGCCTAAATGGAGATTTTCGGCTAGAACGAGCAGGTCTTTTGTGTAAATCACATAAAGACTAACCCATGTCAGTTGTGCTTTTTCTCCAGATGTTTCTCTTGGTTTGACGTGAACGTGATGAAGCAGTAAAGCATGTTAAATGAGAAGCAGACGGTCACGAGTCGAGCTGTGATGTGGCCAGACTGAAGTCACTCGAAAAAGAGTCGTATGAAGATGAATGTGTTTTAATGAGACGACCAGAATGTCTGAACTTTGATGGGGCCGCCGGTATTTGAGCCTTCATTTCAGTCAGAAACGTTATTTAGCACAAATGATTAGTCTTTCAGAAGGAGATTTGAGCCTGAAAGTGAAGATGGTTTTGTGGTTTTTCACCCTTTTAATCACCGTTTTCATTGCCTTTTTGTGAGGTTCATTTAAAAATCAGAGCTATTATAGTTAACTAAAATCATTTTCGCTTCTTGAAATAAAATAAAAGATAAAAATGCAAAAAAATTTTTATTTCAGCTAGCTACCAAAGCAACGTTTCTCAAGTTAATTTAGTTTTATTATTAATGTCTTTTCAGTTGTAATTAGACTTTTTCATTATTGTCTCAGACATTAAGAAAAAATTACTTTGAAATACTAAAATAACAAAAATGGAAATAAAAATCAAAAACTACAGACACATTTAAAGAAAAACACAAAATTACTAAAACTTAAACTTAAGATGAAAACCGAAAATATAAAAATAGATGAATCTAAATATAATAGTATCTGAAATGATTGTAAAACAACACTGGTTTTGATAACGCCACTGAAGAATCGTTCAATATAGGGTTGCAGAGAGACGGAAAATATCCAGATCTCTTGGAAATGTTTGGAAAGTTTCCCGGAAATGTGCCAGAAATGTTCCGGCACTTCACTAGGAACATGTATGAAGACAGTAAACTGTTTAGTTGTTTGTGGGACGAGCGTGTGAAAATCCGCTTTGGCCCCGTTCCATTCATCCCGCTTTAGGGACACAAGAACCTCAATAGAACAATGAGGCTTTTCCCCTCGACGGCTCGCAAACAAAACAGCCGCGTGAATCCAGGCCGCTCTGACAGTCACGTCAACCTGACGCTCTGTGCTCTTATTGAACCAAAACAGAGGATGTGGCTTATTCTAATACAGGAAGCGCGGTCTGCCCGGCTCGCCGCATCTTTACTAAACAAATGAGAGAGAGAGACGAGAGCCTTTCCCTCAACACCCAGAAAACTCCGCCTGAGGCATCGGGTCCTTCATTTGATTCTGCATTAATGTCCGTCTGTCTGATTCACTAATATTTGTAGTTATATGCACATGAAACATCAGTTTTTTGTTTGCTTTTTTTAACATGCTGTCAAGGGTCTACAGATGAAAAATAGCCTGATTCTGGCACATGTGCAGTCATGTTCATTCATGTGCATTGCCCGTGCAAACAAACAAACTCTTAAAAATAAAGCTGCTTTATTGACATTGATGGTTCCTTTAACATCCGTGGAATCTTTCCACTGAGCAAAAGGTTCTTTAGATGATTAAAATGCTCTTTGGGGAACCAAAAATTGTTTTATTTTCAAGAGTATTGCCATTAAAATCTAATTCTCAAGGCGTGCATTTGTTCTGAACTTTTTTTTTGTAATGTTAATGAGTTTGGAATATTCTAAATTCACAGAACACTCCATATAAGGGCTTTCCGCACAACTTTCTCTTTACAAACGTTCATTGCTTTCAGAAAACATGTGACGGTGTCTAAAGATGCGCAGCCAGATCCTCAAACCCAGTTCAAACACAGACCCGGGTCTGTGCTCTCATGATCCAGCTCTACATGCTCATATCTGTGTCTTTACGCAGAGAAACCTCACAGCTCCAGCTGTAATGCAGCTTTTCTTAAAGTCAACTTCACATCACATTTTTCAATATTTGTGGAATAAACGGCATATTTATTATACATGATTTATTCGAGCACATCTTGTTTTTTTAAATACATGTGCCCTTGTAATATTTATTCAAAATAACTTGCAGCATCATCTCTTCTCTTCTCTGATGAGTCACTGTGTTCACCAGCGTGAGGGCGGGACAATAACCTGTCACTCACATGAGATCCACCAATAGCAAACCACAACCATCCAATGATGCCGTCGGTTCCCGATGGACAAGATCAAGCCCCGCCCAGTTTAAGGTGCGCTCACGTTTACTGCTGCTCGACGTAATTTCACTGGTGAAAATGAGTCGATCAGAAACTGTGCGATCTGGAGTTTCACGTGAGCATGTAGATTTTCACTTCTGAACAACAGAAAGCTGCTTGCTGAAAGAGACTTGTGTTTGAGATGTGCTTTATGCATCGCCACACTACTGACGAGACACGTTTGCAAAATTGATCTGAAATATCACTGATGTGACGCACATTTACTCTCTTACCACGTATGTGTCCCTGCAGCACAAAAGCATTGTATGGGTCAGAATTATACATTTCTCTTTTATGCCAAAAATCATGAGGATATTAAGTAAAGATCATGTTCCATGAAGATATTTAGTAAACTTCCTACCGTAAATATATCAAAACCTAATGTTTGATTAGTAATATGCATTGCTAAGAACTTCATTTGAACAACTTTAAAGATGATTTTCTCAATATTTAGATTTTTTTGCACCCTCAGATTCCAGATTTTCAAATAGTTGTATCTCAGCCAAATATTGTCCTATCCTAACAAACCACACATCAATGGAAAGATTATTTATTCAGCTTTCAGATGATGCATAAATCTCAATTTCGAAAAGTTGACCCTTGAGACTGGTTGTATGGTCCAGGGTCACATGTAAATTATGAAATATATATATATATTACATATATATAATATATAAATTATAAACAGACTGTGATTTTTGCATATGTGTGGTTTCAGTGGTTCCTATGACTTAGAATACATTTTAGTATGAACGTTATTGATGAATCATGATTTGTTTGTGAAGACATTCATACGCAGATTTCACACACAGTTTCATGCATTCGCACAGTTTATTCTGGAATATTTGAGCTCTGAACGTGACGATCAGCATCCCAGAGAGCCGTGGTACCATCATGATGAACTTTATCTGCTCTGCAGAAACAGACTCAGATGAGGAGTTTGAATCACGTGAGTCTGTTCCGTACTCGTTCAGTCGCTTGAGTTTGTTCAGCTTTGTTGTGTCTGTCTGTAGCGTCTTTCAGCGTCAGTGTTGGTTCTTCAGCGTTTGAGCCACACTGCTGAAGATGATGCTTCTCTCACAGACGAGTTGGGTCTCCAGCATATTATTCAGTGAATGTGTGATTCCTGTGAGTTTCCATCATCACTGACGGACAGACGGCGCTCGTTTCCATGGCAACCGTTAACCGCACTCCTGCAGGAGAACTAGTGATCACTGATCTGACCTGCTAACCTGTGATACTGCGCTATCACCACAGTAGATTACTGCTAGTATTGAGCAGCCGCTTGATCTTCGGCGTTTGATGCACATGCGTTTAGATATTCTCAAATGCCATGAGCTGTAACGCTTTTTTTCTTGGAAGCTAAATGAGATTAGATATTTAAGAGTTTATGTGTTGTTTGTGTCTAAATGCTGCAATCAAATTGCATTCGGGAAATGAAATCAGGTCATTCTGTTTCAGATCTCTGGCTAAAAAGTTTGAAAATGTGTGCCATTGAGATCCCAGTATCTCTGGAAATGAACCATACAGGGCCTTAAAAATGGAGATACCGAAATAAAAGTTAGCTGAGAACCAAAATGTAAAAGGATATGAAGATATCTTTAATACGTCTTGAGATACAGGCAAGCAAACTTAGGGGAAATTCAACTCAAAAAGTGCTTTTTCCTCTTTTTGAACAGTCACGATTGGCAAATAATGTGACACAGATTGCTAAAGTCAACAGATTTTACTAATAGAGCTACCAATCTCTGTGTGGAAATAACATCATGATGCTGCCAGCTTTCCAAAGTCATTTTTACCCTCCTGTAATTTGGCTCCGAATCTCAGGTGAAAATTGCATTTCTAACCCTTCTCTACAAAATAGTGGATTACTCCGTAAATATACATCCATGACATTTCATATTTTGGCTTTTATCAGCATTTATGTTTGTCTTTCTTCAGAAAAACATGAACAAAATATTTAAAAAAAAACTGAAATTTTAGCTGGGGAAGTTTCTGAAATATGGTTGTTTTGACAGGGAATGACACCATAGACAAACTGAAGTGAGGTTGTGTCAGATCAGCCGTTTGCTCGTATATTTCATCTTAATCTGCCATATGCTGAGCATTTCTTCATAAAGAGCTTTAGAGCTAAAAATACTGCGCTGAGGCTTTATAGACGCGCTGCTGCTTTTCAGCTGTTGTACGTTTGTGTTGAACGCCGTTTGCATCTGATCTGGGGAGATTTATTGTTCTGCAGCTTTAGCTCTGTTTGTGAGTTTTTACCGTATTTTACCGTGTTGTGTACTGGAGGTCGGTGATGGAGAAGCAGGTGGTGTTTGTGTGAAGTGCTTTTCTGTGTCGATCTCTGAATCAGCATCAGCCATCAATGTTTCATTTCAAAACACTTTCATTAGCTCTGAGAGTGTGTGTGTGTGTGTGTGCGTGTGTGTGTGAGTGAGAGTGTGTGTGAGAGTGTGTGTGTGTGTGGGAGAGTGTGAGTGAGAGTGTGTGTGTGAGTGAGAGTGTGTGTGTGTTTGAGTGTTTGTGTGTGTGTGTTTGAGTGTGTGTGTGTGTGTGTTTGAGTGTGTGTGTGTGTGTGTTTGAGGGTGTGTGTGTGTGTGTGTGAGAGAGTGAGTGTGTGTGTGTGTGAGAGAG